GAGGCAGTGCGGTGGGCCGCGCAGACCGCCCCCGCCGACGTGGTGGCTTTCCGCGAGGGCGAACTCGCGGCGCTTCGCGAAAGGGATCGGGCTCTCCGGGCCAGTGGCGCCGTGGAAGAATGGTTCCGGGGGGTGGACCCCGCCATGCGGCGCGTCGCACAGCACGTGAACGGGCCTCTCTGCGCAGAGATCGCGGAGCGCATTGCCTTCTGCGACCCAGGCTGCGTGGAATTCTTCAGGACGGGGGCGCCCCTCGTCGGCGAGCTCCCGCGGTCGGGCCACGGCAGCCCAGAGGTGTTCCCTCCCCGTCTGGGCATCGCGGAGCTGCTCGGCAACGCCGAGTCGACAAATCGCGACATTTCCTGTGGCCTCCGCGACGGCGCGCACGGCGACGCCATCCTCCGCAAGACACGGGACGAGGCCGAGCTGGGGCGCATCAGTTGCCCGGTGCCGCTCCGCGACGTGTGCCTGGACGGGGCCGTCATCGCTCCGAGGTTTGCGGTTGAGCAGCTCCGTGAAGACGGGTCCTCGAAACTCCGGTTGGTCGACGACATGACCAAGGCTAGGATTAACGAGGCGACGCGGCCTCAGGAGCGGCTCCACCACGATGCCGTGGACGCGCTTTTCGAAGCAGCTCGCATCTTCCAGGAAGTTGCGGGGCGGGCACCCGCCCTCTGGAAGGCAGACATCGACGCTGCCTTTCGTCGCGTGCCCATTCGCGCTGAGCACCGCCGGTTCGCTTGGATCGTGTTCAGCGCCGCCGGGCAGGTCTGGGCGGCGCAGCACGCGGCAGCGCCCTTCGGGGCCACGTCGTCGGTGCACAGCTGGGCGCGAGTGGGTGCCTTCATCGCGGAGGCGGCGCGCGTGCTCTTGCGGATCGCCGCGCTGCGATACGTGGATGATTATTTTGGGCCGGATCACCCCGAAGTGGTGGAGCACGCAGCAGCGCAGCTGGCGGAGCTAATTCAGCTGATGCTCGGCCCAGGCGCGGTGGCGCCGGACAAGATCGCCTGGGGGTCCCCGCTGGTCATCCTCGGCCTCGAAATCAAGGCGGGGCGGCCTTGGCGCGACGCGCCGGCCGGCCGGCTGCGCGCGTCGCCAGGTGCTGCCACGCGCGTTCTGCGCGCGTCCCGCACCCGCGAAGACCGCCAAGTGGCAGCGTGTCATCGGCGAGGCGCTCGCGACGCGCGCCCTCGCGCCAGGCGGCTCGCGCGCCCCCCCTAATGTGTCGGGACCTTGCGTTCGCTGTGCAGGCGCATCGTCCAAGCTGGCCGGGGGCTTGGCCTGGGCAGCGTCGCATCTCTTCCGCCGCCTGGGGCGCGCCCTCCTCAGGCGCGGCGCTGCCCCCGCGCGCCCGGGGGGGCGGGGCGCCGCGCTTCGTGCTCGCAGGCCGTTGTGCGCGCAATCGCATCGCGGGGCATCGAAGGCCCATGAGCCGTTGATGCTTGCCCTACAGTGGTGGCGCGAGGTCTTGGCCATGGACTTGTGCCAAGCGCGGCCGCGGGCCGACAAGGCGCGGCCTCGCGCAACTCTCTTCGCGGACGCGTCGGGCCAACCACCGTGCGTGGCCGCGGTGCTCGTCACCGCCGCGGGCATCCGTTTCACTTCCATGGTCGTCCCAGATTCCTTGATGGCGTCGTTCCAGCGTCGCCGGGACAACCAGATTCAGGGGCTGGAGCTCCTGTCTATCGCGCTGGACATGTGCACCTTTGCAGGCATTGCTTTCGCGCGCGACTGCCCGCGCCGGCGGGCAGGTCCGGCCCCTCGTCTTCGCTGCGCCCAGTGGAAGTGCAAGGTTGCGACTGGAATATATGCAGCGACAATGCCGGCGCGGAGTCTTGCCTGCGGAAGGGCGCCGCGAAATCCTTCGACCACTCGTGCATCGTCCACTCCATGTGGAGGCGCGCGGTAGAGCTCGACGTTGACCTCGCGGTTTTCCGCGTGCCCACGGCTGAGAATCTGGCCGATTTGCCTTCTCGGCGCGCCCGTGCGCGCCGCGCGGTGCTGCGGGCTGGCCGCGGGCGCAGCGCGTCGCAGGGGGGGCGACGAACTCCTGCTACGCATCGGCGCGGTGCGCACGCGCCCGTGGCTCGACGAAGAATTCTGGCACGCGGATGCCTGGGGCGCTCTCTCTGTGGCCCGCCTCTTCGGCTAAACCGCGCGCCATGTCGCGCCCGGGTGCCATCTTGTGCGTCGGGGCGTCGCGATGCTTAAGTTTGGGCGCGGCAAAGCGTTCGGCGCGCCGCCGCGCTTGTCATCATAGGGCCCCGCGTTTTGTCGCAAGCGGAGTGCACGCGGCCAGTGCCTCAGGCGCGTCGCTCGCATTGTCAGGCGCGCCGCGCGGCATCATGTCGTTATTCCTTGAATTGTGTTCCTTGCGCCCGACAGCGCCCAGGACGGCCGTCGCCTGGGCTGCTGATTTCCTGGCTGAGAACGGCTTCGCACGAGCCTGCGAGCTCGCCAGTGCAGACGCCGCAGACCTGGAAGGTTGGCCGGTCACCGCGCAGGCCAATGTCGAAGTCTTGCACGAATTATTCAGAGCCGCGAAGATTGCTGCGCGCCGAGGCTCGGCTGCGCGAGGGTTTTTGGCGCGCGCGGCCCCCCCCCCCGCCGCGCGTGCGCCTCGCAGGCGCGCCCGTCGCCGTGGGCTCGGCAGTTGGAGGGCGCGCGCCCGCCCGCAGCCGGTCGCCGGCGAGACGCGCGGCGCCGAGCGCCCCGGGGTCACCCCCTGGGCCGCCACAGGCGCGCGTCATCGGCCCCGCGCGCTTGCGCATGCCCGCGCGCCGTGGCTCGCGAGGCGCCCGTCCCGAGCGTCCTCGACCAGCTGGGCGCGCCGGTCGCGCTGCCAATAACGCGCGGGCCCCGGGCGGCGCTCGCCGAGGCCGCTGCTCGCCTCCGCAGTCCGGCGGACGCGGCCCGCTGGCGGGAGGAGGAACGCGTTCGCGCTATGCTGCAACCATGCGCACGGTCGCTCCCAAGCGTGAGAAGCGGCCTCAAATGCTGGGAGGCCTACTGCATCATAATGTTGAAATACCCGCGCATGCAGCTCCCGCCAGCCTGCGCGGACCTGGTCGCCTGGAGCGCCCTCTTTCGCTGCGGGGAGACGTACGCAAATTACTGCAGCTACGTTAAGATCGGCTGCCTCCTGACTGGGGTCTGCGTCGCCGTGTTCGACCGCCCCGAGGTCAGGCGCGCGCGCGCCGCCGTCTGGGTGCGGGCCGATTGGACTCCGCGCCCGCGCTTGTTCATCCGTAAGAGCGCGGTCGCCGCGCTGGTCGAGTTGGGCGCGCGCCGCCCCGAGTGGCTCCGCGCGTCGATGCTTTTCCTTTTCGCCTACACGTTCTTGTTGCGTGTTCCCAGCGAGGCGTTGCCGGCCGTGCGCGTGGCCGACGCCGGCGACGCGCCGCCCTTTCAAGCGGCGCTAGTGCTGGGCAAATCGGAGCTCACGCTGCTGCTGCGGCGGCGGAAGAACCGGCCGCAGGGCAGTCGCCTGTCGCGGAAGTGCTGGTGCTCATCGTGCCGCGCCACGTGCCCCGTGCACATCTTGGGCCCCTGGGTGGCGCGTTGCGGGCTGGGCCGCGGGCTCTTCGGAGGCCTGCGCTGCGGACCCTGCGCGAGATGCTCGCTGCCCTCGGTGTCCAGGGGGCGAGCCTGTTTCGGTTGCATGACTTCCGCAGGGGCCACGCCAAGGACCTGCAGGAGGCTGGCGCGACGCTGGCCGAGATTCTCGCGGCCGGGGAGTGGCGGTCCTGCGCTTTCATGGCGTATCTCGACCGTGACGATCTGGAAAGGGACGCGGTCGTGGAGGCGGGGCCACGCGCCCTCCGCCCGCGCCGCGGCGCGCTGCTCGCGCCAGGCGCACATGCTGGAGTCGGATTCGGACGAGGGTGCCTGCTAGGCGCCGGCGGCCAGCGCCGCCACGTTTCGCTTCTGTGCGTGGGCGGGTGCGCGCGACGGCGCCCGTGCTCTGCCCCCGCGCGTTCGGCAGCGGGTGGGCGCGCGTTGCCGGCCCGTGTCGCCTGCGTGCCGTGTGGCATTGGGTCTGCACGCAGGCGTGGCGCGAGGCCGCCCAAGCGGCGGTGCGTCGGGCCTGGGCCCGTCGCAGCCGCCCGCGGGGGGCAGCCTCGCGCCGCGCCGCTCCCACCGACGGCGGCAGCAGGCGGGGTCGAGGCCCTGCGCGCGCGGCTCGATTTGTGGTAGGCCCACGGCGGCAAGTCCGCTCGCAGACGCGGACGTTCACCGTTGTGGGCGGGCGCAAATCGGCCACGGTTGCGCGTGGGTCGCGCGCGCGGCAGTGCGACGCGACCGCGGCCTCGCTGCGCAGGCGCGGGCCATCGCGCCGTCGCGCGCCAGGGTTGCGCGTCGCGGGGGGGGGATCGCTGCCCCGCGGCGCGTGCGCTTCGCAGGTGATTTGCTAGCGCCGGGGTTGCGTCGCCGCGGGGGGGGGTCGCTGCCCCCGCGGCGCGTGCGCTTCGCAGGCGATTTGCATTTGGAGGAGGCGCCGCGCGCGCGCCCCGCGCGCGCGCGGCGGGTGCCTCCCTGGCGCGCGTTCTTTCTCCCACCCTCCGCCCTGTCTGCTGCGCGCAGGCGTGGCGCGAGGCCGCCAAAGCGGCGGCGCGTCGGGCCTGGGCCCGTCGCAGCCGCCCGCGGGGGGCAGCCTCGCGCCGCGCCGCTCCCGCCGACGGCGGCAGCAGGCGGGGTCGAGGCCCTGCGCGCGCGGCTCGATTTGTGAAGCTCCATCCCGCGCGTTGGCCCAGGCCGCGTCATTGAAGGCAGCGAAGGCCAGCTCGTGAAGAGGTATGTGTCGTACCTTGAGTGTTGCGTCACGAAACTCCTTGGTCATGCTGCCGATACGATTTGCTTCCAGCAAGTCGTCCACAGTAAGATTCGGCATTTTTCCCTGCAAGAGAGAGACGGGACCCGAAGGGTCGGGGCGACTCTCCCGCGCCAGGAAGGAGGTGGAGCCGCGCAGCTCCGTGCCTGATGCAGCTCTGCTGGCGTCACTGGTGACTGAGGCGTCTTACGTCTCTCTGTGGCGATGCCGATAAATTGATATTGACGGAGCTCTGGCGTTGAGAGATGGTGATCTCCGTGTTGTCGTCGTTCTGGTCGAGCTCCTTGCCTGTGTACTTCCCCTTCTTGAGGCGCCAGGCCCCACATGGGGAACTTTTGGCGCAATTTCTTGCAGGTCTCATCGAACTTCTGGTTCCCGCCGCCCACGATGTCGTCCACCGCAGGGCCCATGGCGCCGCGCAAGCCCTCTTCGTCCCTGAGGTAGAGGACGCAGCCGTTAATTATGGAACACTGAAAGCCGATTTCTTCGGCATAACTTGTGAAAGAGGCCCGCCATTGGACGGGGGCGTCTCCGAGTCCATATACTGCCTTGAGTAACTCTACCAACGAGCCCGTTTCCACGTCTGGTATGCCCGTCCGTGGTAGTTCCACAAAAAGCTTGCCCTGAGACCTGTCCAGTGGGTCTCCTGCTGTGAAGGCCGACGTGATGTCTGCAAGCTGCAGCGTCCACTTATTGGTGCACAAGATCTGCAGGATGAGGAAATCCGAATCCTTACCCACGACTGGGCTGTAGGTCTCCAGCTCCAGCAGGTCAGGGTCGGCGTGTCCCTGGGCGGCCCATCGCGCCTTGGCCATCCTCCAGTCGTTGCCACTCATGAAGAGCAAGGGTTTCCTGCTCGCGTCGGTCTCGTTGGGGTCGCCGCCCTTGTCCGTAAGTACCCACCTGGGGCCCGTGATCCGAGCGGTCAATGCATGATCCTGTCGAACTCGTTCTGCCTCTTCTGGAGGGGGAACCCGTACTGCACCCGCCTTTCGTATGTTGTCCCACTCCCTGCGCTTGGCTGAGATGCACGGCTGGTACTTGTCGGTGTTCACAAGAGACTTCTCCGTGAACTCCTTGCGTCCTCGTTGAGCTGCACTAGTCAACAGAGCGCTGGTGGCGCCCTGAGCTTTTCCCTTCCTCTTTTTCTTAGGAGGAGCCTGCTGGTCCTTCTGAATCTCCTCCTCGATGGTCGCGATACGTTGTGCCACCGGTATCGCCGCGTCAGGGTTAACTAGAGCCTGCTTCATGGTGATCGGTACATCGTCGAGGTGATCATAGTACTGCGTTTCCATGGGGATGGGATCTGACTTCGCATCGGAGGAGTGCTCGATTTCCACCGTCGGTGGCTCCAGGGAGGCCGCTGGTTGATCATCCCCTGCGGGCCCTGGAGGTGCTGTCTGAGGTACGTCGTCCTGGTCCTCCTCAGCTGGTGAGGTCTGCTTGGTCAGGTCCTCGTACTTGCGCCTTCCGCGGTTCTCGGTGCTCACCTCCTCCTTCATCGTGTGGTCGATCTGCTCCCAGGCGGATGTCCCCCCCTCATTGGCGTGTCGAAGCTGTTCTGGTGAGCATTTCAGTAGCCCACCCTGGTACGAGCACCACGCCGTGCTTGGCAGCTCAGTCTGGATGACTCTGGCTGGGCCATGCCAGGAGCTCACGGGGAGTTTGTCCGTACTACTCCTCCAGAAATAGCAGCGATCTCCAGGCTGAAAAGTAGTGCCCCCTCGGCGGTCGAGTCCTTCTATTGAGAGCTCGTCGCCACTTCTCGGAGCACTCCGCCTCGATGTGCGCTGCCATGGCTGCCTTGCGCATGTCAATGCTCCTGGCAAGCTCGGTGTCCCCATTCATGGCTCGAGATACCGTCGCCGAACTCGGCGAGCCCCCCCCCCAATATTTTTTCTGGTAGTTGAAAGGGTCTTCGAAAAAAACTCTCTGATAAGGCGTGAGCCCCCCGCGTCGCACACTTTCTCCAATCGCCACGTTGATTGAGTCGACCAGCTCGTAGAAGTCGTCCCAGTTCTTGGTGTTGAACTTCTGCCTTGTGCGGTAGAAGGTATCCTTCCAGGTCCCCCCAGCCCTCTCAGTCTTGCCTGCCTGCCATGGCGAAGTAGCGCTCGTCGCCTTCACCTCGGTGCCGTCTCCTTCAGCTGCGTCTGGAAACTCGCTTGTTGAAAAACCTCTCTCGCCGTCTATCACGATGATCCTGGGAGTGCCGTGCATCCGCTTCCAGAAAGCACGATAATGCCGTCTGATCTGCTGACCTTGTCTGATCGGTAGCGGTAGCACGACTTGGTGCCCCGTCCCGTGACGCACGATGTTGAGCATCGGTACCTTGGTGGTGTTCTCGGGACCTAGAACGAAGAAGATGTCCATGCCGATGATGTCGTTGAACTGGTAGGTTGTGGGAGCCTTGGACGGTTTGGCCAGCCTGGGGCGCTTGTTTGCCTCGCAGCTTGGACAGACCAGATGCTGCGCGGCCTCGATAAAGACCTGGCGAGCTCTGCCGTACTTCAAAACCATCACCAGATTCTCGTTACTGCAGTGACCCATGTTCTCGTGTATCTTCTGTACCTGCTGCTTGACATGAGGATCCGTGCCCGTCTCGTCCTTGTTGTTGGAGACGGGCGCTGTGCAACAAGACGCACACTGCGAGCTTGAATTGTCTTTGTTCATCTTCGTCTCGACGGTCGCCAGCTCGCTCATCTTGGCCTTCGCGATGGCTCGTGCCAGAGGTCCAGTAAGCTCCTGCAGGGGTATCGGCACGTCCCCCAGCTTGTTCTGCAGAGAGCCCTGCACGAACTCCTGACTCAGCATCTTCCCGTACTCTGATGCCTGGCCAGGTAGGTTGGTCAAACAGGCCCGTCCTCGTGCATTAGCTTTCCCCGGGAATACCTCGGGAAGTCGCCTCAGCTTCTGGATGGGTGGGTCGTTCCATTCTCGAGAGCTCTCCTCCTGCTCGTAGTAGAAGCACCTGCCGTTAATCGCCTGCTGGGTCGCCATGTCCGACATGAAGGTCGTCACGTCCCTGCCGATCTTCTCTTTGAGCTTCTTGTTGTAGATGTCCTTGGGCGGCCTGATGATCGCGAGTAGGGGGCTCGCACTCTTGATCATGTTCCACGCCTCTTTCTGCCCACTCCTCACTAGTAAGTGGTGTCCCGTCACGACCATCACGTGCGTCTGCTCTGTAGTTTCGTGTAAGGGAACCCCGCCAGTCTCCATCATATCGTCGTCATCGTGAATCGTGAACCTGCTCCTCTAGCTGGCCGAGGAAAGCGGTGCACTCTGGAATCGCGTCCTCCATGGCCCCCCTCAGTTTGTCCGTTTTGCCTAACTCCTTGAGCGCCTTGCTGATCTTCCGCTCCTCCTTCTCGGTCAGCTCGTCATTTATGCTGTTCTCGGACCTGCTGTTGATGCTGCTCACGGCGTTTGTGTTGTTCACGTGCTTGCTGTTGGTGCTGTTCCTGTGCTTGTTACTGTCGATTCTCTGCTTGTTAACTTGAACCTTCTGTTTATGCCTTCCTCCTGGTAATCCTCCTTTTTGCAGTAGTCTTGCTATGTGTGCTGCTTTTTGTCTGGCGTTCTCTGCTGTCCTCCTGCTTTCTGCCTGTTGTTTTGTTCCAGCTCCAACACTTGAAAACATACGGCCTTTTTCCTTCTGATCCGCACTGTCGTTTAAGAGGCCCTCGGAGATGAGGAAGGTGGAGGGATGCTTATATTCAGTCCTGAAACTGAAATCCATAGAAACCTCCTTTGTGCACAGTGTCCAGCCTTCAGGCTTGCCCCACGGTCTCGTGAAGTTATCCAGCTGCAGCAAAAAGTGCTCCCCTCCAGCGTGTGCCAAGGGGAGTCGCAGGCTCTGCTCAGGCAGATCCGGCTCCGACTGAAATGCATGGAGGGACGCCTTCAGCTCCACGACAAATGTCTTAGACAACAGAAGTGGAGCCGCTCCCTGCACCAAGCACACAAAAATGATGCCAACACAGTTGCCCAGCATGATCGGGATGATCACCCCGTCCGTCGCCGTGCAGATCTGGTCATTGCCGAAAGTGTACTTCTTATGGTACGGGATCGTTTGCAGCGTGATGCCATGCTCCTTGTTGTAGTGTGCCTCCCGCTTCGCGTAGGTGTCCAGCCCTATCATGTTGAAACCACAGGCCGTGTCGAGTGCCCCCCCAGCCTGGTTTGCCTGACGTCTTGATGTCGATCGCCAGCTTGATGTGCTCTACTAGGTTCGACCTTGACGCCATCTTCGCCCCTGTCGCTATGTAGCTGCAGATCTCGTCGTCCTGCCGCACCGTCATCGCAATGAAACCTCCCGTCCGCTTGTTCTTATTCTTCGGATTGTCGGGGCACTCTCGATGCCAGTGTCCAACCTTCTTACAGATTCCGCACTTCGTGCGCTTCTTGATGTCCTCTATCTTGTCGTTGAGCTTCTTGCCGTCCTGCAGGTTGCGGAGCCCCCGATTGGTCTTCTTGTCCGCCACGATCCTCCGAGCCTCGCCCCACGTCCGCGGCTTCGTCGGTGGTGGGACGATGGCCGCGAGGCAGTCGAGCGCCTCGACCTCCGCGAGGATCCGTTCTCCATCGTCAGCTGGTTCTTGTCCGTCGGGTGTTCCATCGTCGTCGATCCCGAGCAGGTTGGCCTTCGCGTCGTACACATCACTCTCGGCTTCACCATCCTCGGACATCAGGGGCTCGCCCTCGTCACTTCCCGCCAAGTATGCCCATTTTGCCGGTGTGCTCTTCTCGGTGACCGCGCTGTCGTCCGTCATCCGCTTCAGAATCGAGACCAGCTTGTCGACGTTGTAGTCGCAGCCCGTCTGGATGAGAACCTGGTTCCTTTCCGTCTTGGCCAGACCCGCTCCTCTCAATAGCAAGAAACCCATGACCGTGTCGTTCAGTGCGTTGGGGAGTAGCCGTTCTAACTCCTTCTGCTCTGCTCGTACTCGATTGGTGCACTTCATCAGCATCTCTTCTCTCGCCCTAGGAGCCGCGAAGAGAGTCTTTTCCAGCTGCTGGAAGGTCTCCGCGTCTGCCTCTGGGAACGCCAGCGTGTCCAGTGCCAAAATGACTGCTTGTAGACCATCTGCGTACTGTACCGAACCTGGTCGTAGGTGTCGTGTCGCAGTCGCCGCCTCCTTGGTCAAGGGCAGCAGCAGGGTCTCGCCCTGCTCCTCAGGCGACACTGCCGTCAATCTGCTCCATCTGTCTATGGCAAGCCGCTTCTCTGGCCACTCGCTGATGTCCTTTCCATCCCAGGTCGGGCAAGGTGGGTCTTTTCCTATTCGGCCTCCACGTCGCTGGTCGCGTTGCTCGTACTCCCCGCCCGACTCGAGTCTTCCGTGCACCTCTGCCATCATCTTCTTCACCTGCTCTGGTGTGCCGAACCCTCTCGACTGCACTGACCTTTCTGAGTCCGTCTCGGAGCCGCCTGAGCAGCCCTTACCTTTCAACTCGTACTTGCCTGCCGAAGCCCCCGAGTGGTCGTCCTCGCTTGGCCACCGCCAAGCACCCCAGTTGGACATCTGACTCCATGTTCGATCCGAGGATACTGAGCTGTCGTTCCACGTCTTACAGGGGTCCCAGGTGTCGCCCTTCATGCTGTCGTGCTGTCCGCTTCGCTGCCCTCTCGTTCTCGACTGTGCCCATCTCAGCTTCTCCCCATCGCCCCCGTCATTCTCCTGAGGTCCGTCTTCGACACGTTCCCACGTAATATCATCACGATTGCCGTCGTAGCCGTCGCTCCGCTTGCCACACGTGGATGGTTCTCAAGACATCGTAGGTCGCCAAGATATCTGAAACAATCTGAACTACTCTGAACGAGAGGGAAAGATAGCAGACACCTTTTCAGTACATGACAAGCTGCACTCCTGGAAGGGGGTCGACGGACCCCCTCCCCCTTGAACCCAAACGGTTAAGGAAATGGGGTCTCGGGTTCTTAGTTGAGCACACATAGCACTTGAAAGCGCTCCCTGCGCTTTCAGATTCACACTGACAGTCCAGAACCGTGCGGGAACGCAATTCCTTGGGCTTCAACTCCACGGATCCATGTAACTGTCGCGCCCTGACAATCCTAAGTCGGGCCAGAACGCTCTTTTCCTGGGACTTCGACCATACGAATGTGCGCGGCGCGAAGGCCAGAACCACATTTTGAAAAGGGACCGCCTCTGCCCTTGAAGCTGTGTTTGTATGAAGCATGTGCACCGCGCTCAGGCGAGAACCGTACTCTAAAACCGCCCGCCCTCCACCCGCGAAGCTGCTGCAAACTTTTGAGACGAATGCGCGGCGCGCCAAGGCGACAGCCACGTGTCGAAAACCATCCCTTTTCCTCCCTAGAGCTGTCGCACAAGTTGAAGACAAGTGTGCGCTGCGTAAGGCGATTCCAGCGCGACTATGCGGCGCGCGAAGGTGAGAGCCATAATGTTGGAAGCCACCTGCCCTCTACATACCCTAGAAGTTGTTGCAAACTTTGAAGACGAATGAACGCTGCGTGAAGGCGAGAGCCACCAGTTGAAAACGACCCACTCTCCATGTGTGAAACAGCTGCAGACTTTCCCGACGCATGTGCGGTGCGCGCACGCGAGAGCCACATTTTGACAAGGGCGCGCCTCCGTACTTGAAACTGTTGCAAATCTCACGCTTCATAATCATAATCGGCGAGGAAGTCTGAGGCGAAACGCCGGGCCCGACCTACCGACACGGCTGGGGGTGCGACAAAAGAAGTGTGCTGAAGGGAAAAGGATGGATGAGAAGGAGGAGGAGCAGGAGGAGGAGGAGGAGGAAGGGGGGCCACTCCCTCATCATGCGCTTCGGCGGCGTCGAGGAGGACGTGCCTGGAAGCCTGTGCGGGGAGGGCGAAAGCGAGGAGGAGGAGGAGGAGGAGGAGGAGGTGGAAGAAAACCAGGAAGAGGAAGAGGATGAGGACCAGTATATGCCCAAGAGGCATTAACGATCTTGGAGTAAATTCTCCCTCCAAGTTCCTACTTCATAGGCCCCATACAACGGTTCATTTTAACTGAGGGACCTGCTTCGTTGGAAGAACCGTTTGAAGATCCTGAGGCATGCCAAAACCTTGTTCTCGAGATTCCAACGCCCCGGATAAACCTGACTGATGCGTCTTGACGATCCGGAATCGTGCCAGAACGCCATTCCTGGGACGTTGCGCCCTCAAAATCCAGAATCCTTCTCAAACACCGTTTCTGGTACGCTGATCATGGGAACCCGTGAAACCCTGGAAACTTTGAAAAACCCATATGCGCGGCACTACAGCGAGAGCCACATGTTGAAAGGAACCGCCCTCAACCCGTGAAATTCGTGCAAAGTTTGAAAACGTATGTACGCGGCGCTAAGGCGAGAGCCACATTTTGAAAACGGGCCACCCTCAATCCGTGAAACTTCTGCATTTGCTTAAACGAATGTGCGCGGCGCTAGGGCGAGAGCCACATTTTGAAAAAGGGCCGCCCTCGATCCGTGAAGCTGGTGTTAATGTTTAAGCTTCAGGATCATAAATGGTGAGGACGTCTAAGGCGAAACGCCCGGCCCGCCCTGAAAACTGGCCTCGAGGTGCGACAGGGGTAAGTTCTTTATATGGAAAACGAATGGATGAAAAGGAGGAGGAGGAGGAGGAGGCCGGGGGGAGGAGGAAGAGGAGGAGGGGAAGAGGAGGAGGAAAAGGAGGAGGAAGACGAGAAGGATGAGGAAAAGGAGGAGGAGCAATGAGCAATGAGCAAGACGCGGGGAGTCCATATGAGTTACTCGAACCTCACACCATAAAAACTGGCAACGGACTCTGCGCCACCCAACTTCGAGGGCGAGCGGGTCAACCTTCAAAATATGGGGGACCCCCCACTGGCGGAACCAGCACCGCCCCCGAACGGCGGCGAACCCCTATGACGCCGCGCAGGCGTACGCAGGAGAGCCGCCTGGGGGACTGCCTCATAGCTGGCCCTACTCTCACTCTCCGTCCCCTCGAAGTCCAAGAACAGCTTCTCGCCTTCCACTGTGAGCACCCATTCCACCTCGTACTCGTCGTCCAAGCCGTCTCTGTGCTGAAGCGCGTGCATGACGCCCAATGCAGCCCACTGCTGGATGGCCCAATCGGTCATCTCGACGGCCCAGTCGGCCATGGTGTTGCTGTTGGTAGCCTGCCCGCTGCGAGCCCGAAGAACAACCTCGTCGTAGACGGCGTCCAAGAACATGCCACCCTCAGTCCTGTTCTTCAGTCCTGTTCTTCTTCTCGTCCACGTTCTCGAAGGCAAGGCCCTCCTTGGTCTTGGACTTCGACGCCGCCAGGTTTTTATCCTCCCAATCGTTCGACAAGTTCGTGTAGAAGGTAGCGTACTCGGCGTTGGTCACGTCCTCGGGCCTGCACATCCAAAGCAACTGGTTCTGGTGCTCCCACTCGTGCGAGACCTCCTTTGCCTCCTCGTCCTCCTGCAGGGTATTGCGCATGGTGGAGCTCTCGTCGATTGGCGCCACTAGCGCCAGCCGCGCGACTCGCCTCACGAAAGTCTGCGCTGCCGCGGGCCGACGCCTCCCGAGCGCCAGCACTGGTTGGTTTGCCCACTCCATGTAGAGCTCGTCCTCCGTCGGCTCCTGGTCCCCCTCCGCGTTGAGGATGCCTTTCGCGTCTGTGGCGATGGCGATGGCCTCCAACTCCTTCTGCGTGCCCTCGGGCGCATTCATCTCAGACAGCTGGTCCGTGTCGGAGTCCTTGCCCTTCTTCTCCTCTTCCTCGTCGGGGGGATCGTTGACCTCCTTCTTCATGGGCTTCTCGACGTACTTTGGAATGGGGGAGCCGACGAACTCCGAGTGCTTAGGGATCTTCAGGGGCGTCTGACCCTCCAGCCCAGGTGGCGGCCGCCGCGGGGTCAGCGGCGCCCGGTGGGACGTGGCGATCAAGAAGGCGAGTCGCCGAGCTCGCAGGAGACGCCGGCGCACCGTAGCGGGGCGTGGCGCCCGCGGCGAAGCGGCTGCCACAAAGCCTTCGGCATGGTCAGCGGTCACCCCATCGCATGTGTCGGCCGCGCGGCCGATGCTGAATTAGGTTCTAAGGCCCCGAGTGCTCGAATCGCTCGAGCCTGGGGGCTAGGAGGAGGAGGAGGAGGAGGAGGAGGAGGAAAAGGAAAAGGAGGAGGAGGAGGAGGAGGAAGGAGGCGGAGGGAGGAGGAGGAGGAGGAGGAGGAGGAGGATGGGGGAGGAGGAGGGAGGAGGGAGGAGGGACGAGGAGGGAGAGGGGCCAGGCCCTCCTCATGCGCTTCGGCGGCGTCGAGGAGGACGTGCTCCCCAGCCCCTGCGGGCGGCCAGGCCGGCGGCGCGCCGCGGCGCACTGCGCGCGGGCCGTGCGGCCTCCTCCGGGTGGCCTCCCTCCTCCTCCCTTCTCCTCCTTCTCCCTTCCCTCCTCTTCTCCCTCCCCTTCCTCCTACTCCTCTCGTCCTCCTCCCTCCTCGTCCTCCTCCTCATTCTCCTCTTCCCCCCCCCCCCCCCCTCCTGGTCCTCCCCTCCCTCTTCTCCTTCCCCCCCCCTCCCTCCTCCGTCCTCCTCCTCACTCGAGTGTGACAGCTGGGGTCGGATACCACGAGGGGCGGCCGCGTGCCCGAATCCGAGCAGCAGAACTGACGTCCAGGCGTGTCCGCGAGTGCGCCGAGGGGGGGGGCTGCAGCAGCGGGCGAGTTCGGGCCAGGAACGTCCAGAGTCTCCATCTCGAACAGACGATGACGACAAGGACGACGAGGACGAAGACGACGAGGACGACGAGGACGACGGGGAGAACGAGGACGAGGACGACGACGTTCACGAGGACGACGACGACGACGACGACGACGACGACGACGACGACGACGACGACGACGACGACGACGACGACGGCTGCGGCGGCGACGACGACGACGGCGGCGGCGACGACGGCGACGACGGCGACGACGAGGACCAGGATAACGAGGACGACGAAGACGAGGACGAGGACGACGACAACGAATCTGGACAAGTATCGGGGAACTAAAACATGCATGTGTAAACGTACATTTTCGGATGTCCGAGCGGATTTATTGGATCTGCGCGGGGCTGGGCCCCTCTGGCGGCACCTCCGGCGCCGCCCCTGGCACGCTCCACCGTGAAAAGTCACGAAGGATGTTTTTTGTTGCCATTTCTGGCCTCCAGGTGCCCTCACTGGGCCCCCGGGCCGCCAATGAACGACTCAGGGTGAAAAGCCACAAGGAGTCAAGACCATCTTGGGGGTTACCCAGGAGTAAGAGTCAGGAGGAGTAGGAGGAACACGCCGAGGATAAGGAGGAGTAAGAGGATGAGGAGGAGGAGGAGGAGGAGGGGGAAGGGAAAGAGGTGGGAGAGGAGGGGGGAGGAAGAGGAGGAGGAAGAGGAGGAGCAGGAGGAGGAGGAGGCTTACGTCATGAAAAAATCATGCCATCGCGGTGGCTTCGCCGTTGTTTCGGCCTCGTCCCCGATTTCGACGTCGCCGCCGTCATTTTCGACGTCGCCAGTGCTGGTGCCGTTTCGGCGGCGCGCCGAGGGGGGAAATGAGAGAGGGTAGGCCTTCTCAGAAAGCGGCGAGGCTGCGGAGAAGGCGGAGAAAGCTTCTCAGCAGTTCAGAGGCCTTCTGAGCCTTCTGAGAAGGCGCG